GTATTCGGACATGTGCGCCCTCTACGACTTGCTTGTTGATCGCACGAATTTGACTTCAAGAGTGATGGATGAGGTACCGGCTATGTCAGAGGATGCGGATAAGATGCTTACGTCGGCCCTTCGAAACATCATGTCGGAATTTGACCGATCCCGACCACCTGTGCTTCCGCCCATTCCATACGATCTACCCCAATTGCCCTCAATGACCTCAATTTTTGAGGCGTACAACAATCTCGGCTCCAAGGGCCAGCTGAAGTTCGACAAGAAGATCAAGGAGCACGAACTGATCCTGGTTCTGAACAAGGCTTACAACTATGACACCAACCGTCTCAAGCTTCCCTTCTTGGACCAATTCAAAGCATTCGAAGTGCGTGAGGCCCGTGGTAAGACCCAGAGCGAAATGGCGGACCAACGTGTCGGTTACTGGCTGTTCCTATATGTCGTTATCCAGTCGCTGCCCATGCTGGTCATCGATGCTCCAGGCGTGAAATTCACCGAAGGTACCGAATATTTCCTCTGTGAACCCCCCATGGGCAACCCACCGTGGATCGAGGATCGCCAGGTGCAGAAGATGTGGTACGAAGTTGCTGGAGGAGGTGGTCTGGTTGAGCTCTCCACAGATGCCGTTCTTTTCAGTGTGGAGGCTACCTACCATCGCAGCCACTGCTGGCTGGCTGCCAAATCCTGGGAGGGCGTCCCTGGTGCAGAAGCTCCTGTCTTTGAAGAGCCTGCCCTGGGTGCCTTGGAGCCCCCTCCTTCTTTCCTCGGAGCAAATGAGTACTATGCCCCAGGTCCGCCATCTATGGGTGGCACGTCAACGCCCCCTCGTTCACCCTCTGTTGTGCTACGGCCACGCACACTCTCACCGGCTGGTAGCCGCGCCAGCCACGCTTTCCGGTCCAGTATTGCCATTGGCCTGGAGCCTGTACCTATGCAGCCCCCGAACGTGTTTGGCGGCCACCAGCGCAGTAGCTCATCGGGACCGCGACCTATGAGCAGCGCACTTGGAATGAGAAGCAGCCACTCTGTCGGTAACCTGGCGGCTTTGAACCTGCAGCACCAACAGCAGCAACAAAACAAATTAGAGTCACCCACCCACGAGGACAGTGGTGCCACGTTTGATGATATCTTGCAGGATAATAATAAGAAGAAGCAGCCTGCAAAGAAGAGGTTTTTCTTTTAATATGCATTGTAATTGGAGCGGGTTCCCGGCATTTTTTCTACTGGTTAGTCCGGGAATATGACTAAAGACGAGTTTCCATACTTAAAAAAGGGTTGGCCGAGTGTTTATGGAGTTGCCATTGTGTGTCTTGCTGACATTTGCCCTGACATTTTCTCCGTTATCTTTTTTTTTTTTTTTTTTTTTGCTCCTGCTTCTCTCTTGGACTATGATTTTGGCAAATTGGAAAGAGGTCATTTATTTCTTCGATCTCACGGAAAAAGATGGATAAAAAGATTTTTTTACTATTATCACTACTACAGCATGGATGGCATCATGATCAAGAAGGCATATATGATGGTATTTTCTGCATAATGTCAATGAGATGAAGAAACATTTTGGATTGTGTTGATCATTAAATATTAAAAAAGATACAATTGATGTATCTATCTATCTCCTGTTATTCTTATATGGTTTATAGCATTTTCCAATTCAACAGCGACAACAATAACTTGTCCCGTTCACACATCCAAGTTTCATTCCTTCAGTAATCCGCTACATTCGTGTATGGTTGATGTGCTAAGTTGGAAAATGTTGATTCGTAAATCCATGTCCAATATACCATTAGATCCGGGGTTCTAGGCCAGTATCAAAACTGGGCACAGGCCAATGCTCAATGGGGTTGCGCCTTGAATCGGACTGGGGCAGATATCTTTTAGAGGTGTTTAGGATGGCATCTCTACCCTTGTCCATCGACCCCTCTCTGTGTGCCACCATTTTTCCTTTTCCTTTTTGTCAGCAATGACACCCTCGCGTTGGTTCCAGGTGCCAGTGCAACCTTCCTTGCCGTTGGCGAGATCCTCTCCGGCGTCGCCGGCTAGATCTCGAGGATCAACCATGCCGCCCTTCTTATCCATCGAACCCCCATCAGGGAGTAGATGGTACCTGATATTACTACCCAAGGTCCCAATGAACCCGGCTAACCCAAACCGATCCACCATCGAGCCATCCTCATCCGTAACAAAAACGCTAAACCGAGGCTTGGTCTCGGCCTTCTCGAGGCGAGATTGAGCAGCCAGCCGGGCAGCGCGAAGGTCTGTACAGAACGCCGTTCTGTTGGAAGGCTCTGTTGGGGATGGCAAGGGTGGCGATTTGGGTGACATGGGCGACTTCTGGGGATACCGAGAAGGGGATGTGGGAACTGTAGCCTCGATGGGCGACAGGGGTGGCTCGGCAATGTAGAAGCGATCAGTGGGGAGATCAATCCTCTCCACTGGTCGGCACAAATCCTGGAATATGCCTTCTGGGTCATTTGGCGTTCTAAGCAACCGAAGCAGAGGGAAGCCACCGGCTTGTATACTTCTCGCTAATATGTCATCTGCCGAATTGGCGCAGTCACGGCCGCTTGTGATATCCCAATGAAGCTTAGTGACACTCGTCGATGCGAGATAAGGCATCATCCACAGCATGAACGAATCAGCCTCCGGCATGAGCGGAGGGAAAGCTTGAGCTAGGGAGAAGATCGAGAGCTTGGGGAGATTGGAGAGGATGCGAGCCAGGGCGGGGAGGGAGGTCATAGGCGTATGGTGAAGATATAGCTTTCTCAATGGCTGGCTGCTAGCGCGAGTGGCAAAGGCTGAGATGCCATTCGACGTAATACCAGTGATGTGCGTGAGGGAGAGGGTTTCAACCGGGGGAAGCAGGAGTAGGGTGTTATCATTAAAAACATTTGGCGGCACACTGCACAAATGAAGGTTTTGAAGCGTAGGAAGCATCCTGAAAGCCTTTGTGAGAAGGTTATCGGGAGCGAGGGTCGCGCCGGGAAGGCAGTGTACCGAGAGGCTATTTAGTTTGGACCAATTCCGATAATGGTCCAAAAAAGTCCTCTCCTGTAATCTTTCCAATTTGGCTGGGAGAGATGAGTCGTTGCTGTTTCGGGTAACTGATCCTTGAGCACTCCTTTGTTGCCTTTGGAATATAGAGGGTTCAACCAACCAATCCATCTCCTTGAGTTGCTTTCTGGTTGAGAGCGCATGGAAAATCTTCTTGAACGAGCCGTCATATCCAAACATGGGCCCACGTAACGACTCCAAATTGGGACAAGCCATAACTATAGTCGCTACCAAGTCATCGTACTGTTCCAGGCTCTTGGAATTCATTCCCTTGAGTGTTGTATCAGGACGAGGCACCTTGAGTGATCGCACGAGGCTCGCAAGACGAGGATTCACTCGGAGAGTTTGGCGTAGGAGGAGAAGCCGTGCGCCATGGAGCTGCTTGAACCGTTTCTTGTGCGCCGCCGAGTCTGCTCCAATGAGTTGGATGTCTCCGTATCTGTGGTGGCCAAGTTAGCACATGTTATATTGGGGACTTGAGTGTCCCCCCGCATGGGATAGCCAGTGTAACGACTTACAAAGCAACCCGCGCAAACGCATTCCATTTGCGTGAGCATAAGCTAATGTTAGACAGGTCTCGCATCCAGCAAGTGGCGCAACTGCCACTACCCCTCCCGAGATGCGATTGCTTCAACATTCCTAGAATGACCTCCAACACTTCGGCGGGCAGTGCGGCAAACAATTCGTTGGGTTGTGAGAATGATCGCTGCCGCGTGCTCGGGGATGTTCGTTTCTGTCGCGGGTCGCCTGGCTTCCACTGGCTGGACTCGAAGGAATCGAAGCTGGTTTTGCTGCTCCAAGAAGAAGTGCGCGCCATCTCCGACCGAATACTCTCCCGCGATAACATGGTCGAAGAGGTGGCCGAGGAACCACTCGAGAACCTCCGGGGTGAGTTGAGCGCAACTGGGGGGAAAGACTCGGAGGACTTCAGGGTCGGGGACTGGACGGAAGACTGAGACATGCTGGAGTGGCGAGGAGGTATCTCGGCGAAGAATTCATCCTCGTGAATGGGATCCAAGCCCGGCGACGAAGGGGAGGTGGGAGAAGGAGGGCCATTGTCGAAGCGCGACGTCTTTATGGGCTGGATCGTAACTGTCCGTGCCATTGTGCCGGCCAATGTATTGCTCCTCACCGGCTTGGACCCGGGTGGGGGGTAAGCGGCGATGTGTCGAGATGTAAGAATTGGCAGTGTAGATGTCGAGGCCGAACGTCGCTTGTGGTATGATTTGTTTGACCTGGGGCGTCTTCCGGGCGGTATTAGTTAGTTAAACATTAGGTAGATTTGGATCTGCAGGGTGTGGGCAAGGCGCCGAAGACAAAACAAAAAAGAAACAGAAATGAACAATCGAGGAGAAGGCGACTGCAGGGCAGATTCCGGCTAGGCAGTACGATGGAGGACGAATGAGCCTCGCGCCCGATGCAGATGTAGTCAGTCGCACGACATTCTCGTTCCCCCACAGAGCTGAGTTACTGGACTGCAGACTGAGCCGGTCCTTTTATTCAGGGTCGTCGCCCACCACCAGCCAGACTCAGTCAGGTCAGCCAGTCCAGCTCTGAGTGGCTTGTTGCTTGGCACCACCTAGCGCATGGGGTGGCATGGGCGATCGCAAGGAGGAAATTGTGGAAATCTAATCAAACGGGCCAGGCCAGGTCGAGTCTGATCTGATTGACCACGCACGCAATGGGCAAGTCGATTGCTTGGGCCGTCCGCTTTGACCTATGCGCCAGGCTCTGCCATCACCATTCTCAATCATGGGAGGTTTCCAAATCGCCCCATCCCATGTTCTGCCTGCCTCCTGGTAATGTAGGTCCCGCGCAGGGCTGGGTACCCCGAGCGGTACAGCCGATGTAGCGATCTGCAGGCCGCTGGCTGCGCGAGTACCTGGCGACGACCCTTGCCCGCTGGGAGGCCACCACCCTCTATGCGACCTGTACCGGCCTAGTGGGTTTTAGGGGCCACTTTCCCCGATCCCAATAGCCGTAGGGCACCAGGTTTGGGGGACAAAGTGCAGGTTGCAGCCAGCCAACTCCCGGAGGAACGACCGGCCGGGACAAACATAATACTCGTACAGGACTCGGGCGGGGAGATTGAGCAAGGAAAACAGGCAGGTACATACCCAAGATCAGCGGAACGTCGCTGGGATTGAAATTCCTTATTAATTACCGGCATGGGATTTTCGTTCCCCGCGATGGCCACCGCCCACACATGCCGCCTCAGATCCTCAGCAAGCTGCTTCTCGTCCAGCTCCTCCAGGGCTGGGAGTGACCTGCGTTTCGACCCGAACAAGCGGCTGATGATGCCGCCGCCACCACCACCACCACCACCACCGCTGCTCCTGCGCTCGTATCGCTCGCTGTTCCACATTGTCCCGACGTGACCCCTCTCTCTCTCTCTCGTCTAGCCTGCGACGCGCGCGGGCCAGCGTGCTTGGGTTGGGTCAGACTGTTGCAGTGTCAGATTTCACACACTAGCCTGCTGGCACTTGCTCGTGTGGTTGGGAGGGTCGGTGAGGATGGGAGGACGATTGTTGAACGAGAAGCAAAGGGCCGCCTAGATTATGTACGTTTGCACCAATTCCACAGTATTATTGGGGGCAGGGAGGGAAATGATTGGGACGGCGTTGCCCCTCGATTCGAGCTATGCACCAAGACATGCCCATGGGCGCTTGAAACCTGCTTGGGCCACCTCGACAATGCACGTCCACATGTCAAGGCAAAGGAGCCCAGATCAAAATCTTGTGGTGGCATCGGGCCGCCCCCAGCTGTGAAGTGAAGGGCAAGCATGGAGCTTTGTGGTTCGAGCGACCAATGGAGTGGCCGGAACAATGCCCGAGTTTATGCGCGTCGTGAGCGCTTATTGCTTGTTGTTGTCCAGGTCTGAGCTGGCTTGGCTGAAGTCATGACTGGTCATCATCTCACCCCGGGACGCGGCTGGTCAGAAAGGACCTGCTCTATCGTTTCACTAACCAGCTGCAGGTCATCATCGAAATGAGTTGATTGGGCCTTTGGAGACATTGCCGCTTTCAATGAACAGCAACTACTGGCTAGTCAGCCAACATCGCTCCAGTATTTTCTTACCACACAAGTGGGCGGCATGGAAATTGACACACCGAATTCAAAGGTTCCTACTTCATAAGCACTCGGAGTAACGAAGAAAAACAAACAACAACAAATAAGTCTGAAACGTAGCTTAAGAATTACTTCGCTCAGTGTTGAGACCAATAAGCGGGCAATATATGGCCTGGACAAGTCAATATAGGAACAGCTTTGTATTGATTACTTGCCTTGCACCTGCAGCCATCCCCGCATCGCTACACAAACACGTCGTGCATCCGACTCTTGCTAGTAGTGGCGTATGCGCATATGCTGTCTTGGGCCATTTTTTCTGTCACTTCATGTTGTGGTGTGGCCCCAGGAATTTACGGATTGCTCCTCTCAGACAGTTAATAAAATGAAATAGGTTGTCTGGGTAGGCGTGTCATTGTGCATCAGCCTCATTTCTCCAGACCCAACCGCCCAATAGACTCCATGCAAACTCCTTTACGCCAATGGAGTTTCAGCCAGATAGATTTAGTTCTTCGATTTGCATATGTACCTAGTCCACAGAAAATTTGACCCTTCGTGTGGGACGAGCAGGAAGCTCTAATTCCACCTCTAATCTATTCTCAGTTGAAACAATCCGCTCTTGACGCATGAACTTGCCGGGACCCGCTTCGTACGGTCGCTTCTGGCCGTTTGGATCCAAATTAGAGTGCGAGAGATCGCTTCTTGATGGCCTCACTGGGCTGCTGGGAGCAAGGTCTTCATCAGGGTGAGCAAGTCTTCCAAAACCGCGCCCAAATACGTGATGCGATAGGACAAGGCCAGACATTTGTGAGACCTTGTCTTCCGAGCACTCGGGAAGAGGCGTGATTTTAGCGTTCTTGATCCAATTGTAAATGGAAGGGATGTCCAGGATCGTCTTCGTTTGCCGATGCTCGGCTTGTGTCATTTGTAGTTTGCGCTCAAGAATGACCTCATCGAGGCTGTTCCGTAGCACAAGAGTCTCCACGGACACTGGCTTGTTCTGGCTTATTCTCCGTACACGCCCTATAGCTTGCGCCTCGACCTGCGGGTTCAGGACCGGGCTGATGAAGTAGATTCTCGACGCGTTGCGCATATCTAAGCCGAAGGCGGCTTGGGATAGATCCATAAGGAGAACCCTAGGTAAGGCCTTTGTTAACACAAGGAGGATCTCGGGAGGAAAACGGTCGAGACTTGACATACCTGAATTTTGAGTTGTGATTAAAAGTCTTAATATATTGCGCCCTTCGTTCTACCGATAAGGTCTTGGCATAAATGAGATATTGTACTTGAACCTTTGCGCCGTCGTGTTAGTTATTCGTTTTGATCGAGGTGGTTTCTGCGATGATACGTACTACATCCAACATGCTGGCCAAGTACCAAGCGGTGTTTTGATTTTCGTAAAAGACGATGATCTTTTCCTCGTCTTGGTACCTTATAATATTATCCAGCAAATATGATAATTTCGCCGAGACCGTCGCTGTAATCCGAGTTGGATCGAGGATATGCGAGAAAGTATTTGATTCCAGCTCATCAATGGGCTTGAGACGATTGACAACGTGTTTATGATGTTTCCGAGCGTTATCGTGACCTATTTTGGTATTGCCAGCAAGGGTTGGCGAACGACGGCTCTCGCTTGGGGCTTCTTCCGCAGGGCTTTGAGAATCGAGAAGTTTCTTCTTTTCCAAGGTTCCTTCCAAGGCCAGACCTCCATTGAGAAGCGCATTGAATTTGGCAGGATCTCGTAATGCACTGTATACTATGTTTTGCAAACTGAGGAGAAGACTGGCTGAAGTGCATGTCCCCGTTTTGTCAGAGCCTTCGCCTAGACACCAGGATGATCCTGAATCGGCTGGGAGGTCTTGGACGCATATGGGCATCTCGTGATACAGATTGCTTAGATTTCGCAAGACATTACGACTTGCTAAATGGCCAAGATTGACTGCCTCTTGAAGCAACTGCTGATCTTCAAGACTGCATTCTACTTTCTTTTCCTTGAGAAACTCTTCAGCTGTATGCACAGCCTTCTCAATCTCCTGTGCCGAAAAGAAAGAGCCTCCAAAAAAGCTCGCCTGTTTCAAGTTATGTACAATCTCCATGAGACTACTCCTCTGCTTTGGATGGAAGAAATAGTCCTGATCAGTTCGTTGAGACTGGACTGCGTTGAATATAATCATCATGGAGAAGATATTCGTGCTAAGTTGGTCTTGGTATGACCCTTCCAAGTATATCACCTCTTCTTTTACAGGCGGCAGAAGCTCTCCGATCTCCGCCACCTTATGACGGATGATCAATGAGTTCAAAGTTGTGCTTAAACAGTCCCAGCGGCCACGGCTTCTGGAATTGTGCTTCGGAAGCTTCAGATAAGTGTTCCAGTTGGCAGGCGTATCGCCTTGTTCAGCACTAGTGTTTGCCCACGGTCGAGCTTTAAGGTAGAGTGCTGTTATCGACCCAATCCTCTCCAGGTCACCCTCTTCCAACTTGTTCGAAGGTGGATCTGAATCATGGCCCCCTTCAGATCCATTTCCATTGGAGGTGACCTGGCTTGCTGTGTCCGTGGCGTCATTTTCTTGTCCGAATAAACCGTGTGAGGGTGTACCCGTAACTATCCAGCGTGAGGTACATTGTAACTCATCGAGGTGGGTGAGGAGCATGCTTTTTGAAGAGTTCTTCGAGTTGCCCAGCTTGTGCCCTTCATCTACTACGCAACGCTTGAAGTGAACTTTTGATAGAGGCGACCCGGCTATCCCCCCAGGTTCCCTCGCGATTATCTCAAATCGAGATTGACAGAATAGGAGCATATCATACTTGATAATGTCCTCACTTGGGGGGATGGCGGTATGTCTGGTTAGAATAAGGGTGTTTAGGCCATCAGTGTGCTTGAGAATTTCTTCGCGCCACTGATTAACCAAGTTTTTTGGAACAATCACAAGGCTTGTTGCACTCAAGAAGACCTTTTTGGTGGTGACTAGGGGGTATTGGGTCCTATTCCTTGCACAACGACGGGTTTCTGGTGCCGGGACGAAGTAATATCCAGGGTTTCTCTCGAGCGCATTGACACACTCGGGGAATTCATAACCATATTCTGAGGCATAAGAGTCGAAGTAGGATTTCCAAGGAACGGAATTTCGATTTGCGCACGAAGCAGCCATTTCAGCTAGTGAGGCGATCTTGGGACGGGTAGGAGCATGCGCTGCCCCATAGATCTCGGGAGCACTGGCAGAGACTTGCTTGGTAGCTAAAATGAGAGCGAGGCAAATCAGGGTTTTGCCGGAACCCATCTCCTCTGCCAAGATACCTCCCGATATACCATCATAGTACCGAGGCTCCTTCAGAATGCTACCAGTGACGAGATCCACATACCAACCTTGGCCATTCTGATCTCGAACATGTTGCAACCGAGGATCTAGAGTTTGGCCTGGTTGGGATTCTTTTTGAAGCATCAATGCCGACGAGCGCCGTTGGTGTGGATATAACTCTGTCTTTAAGCCATCTATTCTACTTTCCAGCAAGCAATACATTCCGTTTTGCGCTGCGGCATTAGAAACAATGTTTGGGTCTGGGCTTGGTGAGTTGAGCCTATTGAATAGCTGAAGCAATGTCATCTCTTGAGTGTTCGTATCCATGTCAGTTCTCTGATAAGGTATTGGACCTGTAGGCATATCTGGTGGGTGGCCATTCCATCCAGAAGCTGAGTAGTCGATTGAGTTTAGAACAGATTGCTTGGCCCTCTGCAAGCCACCGTCGGTGCGGTCTATGGCGCGGCGAGCTACATCGTCTGGGAGGAGGTACACCCTTAGGGTGCCATAATTGGTGCTATGTATCCTGAATTGGAGATTGGCCCATTTGTATTGGAATAGGCGTCTGTAGTAGTTAAGTTCTGGAGAGCCTAGAAGCTGTCTCTGGGCCTCATCGGGGATTGTAGGTTGAGTGTAGGCCAGTGAGCCTGGGTGGTGTATATCTGTTGCTCGGGAGAGCCATACCCATTGTCGAAGATGATCCGAGCCCCAGTAGCCGGCTTCCAGATTGCTTTGGTTCCGTGAAATTGATACGGAGCCAACAGGAATATAGTGATATGCTGGTGATGGCGCCATGCTTATAGATGCTAGAAACCGTTGGTTTCCTTATTCAACTGGTGAAAGCGAAGGAATAGGACGTTTCCATCTGATAAAAGGTCTGGGCAGCAATATCTGTGGTGAGTTCTAAGGAATACCGATGGAGGTCCTGGTGGTGTCAGGAGTTAGATAAGTGAAAGGTACAAACTATGAGGCGCAGTTCAAGGAGAGTAGGAAGGTTGATTAATAACACTGTGCATCAACCACCGCCCAGCACGCACATGCACAGTGCACGCACAGTGACCATTGCACGCCTCTCAAGGCAGCAACCACCAGACAACAAGACCCTGCATTTTGCTCACTTCTCATGTCACCCATTTGTGATTTTTCATTTTTTAATCTTCAAGGTGATTAGTCTTGGATGTTTATATTTGCAATGCTTGTAATACGTTGCACGATAACACTATGAATCTACAAGACCTGAATCCCACCGCTCCAGGAGCCCGACATGCCATTCCCTGAATATCCTATCACTCTCAGGCAGGAGAAGGCTGCTGGAGATCAAATGGTGTCCCGCGGTTTCCACAACGGGACTGGGCAGAGATATGTCCTGGACGTCCGAGTTCAGGTCATCAGCTAGTTTGTTACCTTGCTCGACATCGAGGAATTGATAGAGGATTTTCATGGCCGTCTTCTTGGTCTCGAGCTTTGAGCTTGCATATACAACATAAGGGTTTAACACCCAGAGATGGAGTGCCTTCGCTGGGCTTCCCGCCGTGTCTTCATTCTTCTGAGAGAGGAGGTGCGGTAGGACGACAAATTTTGACGACCCAGTCCGCGAGATCGAGGCGGTTAGAGTAGCAGCAAGGCAGTGGATGCTATTGGGTAGAGGCATGGGTGTCTCTGTTTGACACAGCGTTTGCCACTTGAATAAAGAGAGCGATGATGCTGCGACATTGTAGATCCCAACTTCAGAGTGACAGGCCTTGCAAGATATATGTTGCCACTTCGATGACGGGTCAGCTTCTAAAGCGAGTTCGCTAGATTGGAACCCCGATTCCTTCATCGAGGGAGAGAACTATTCGCCATTAGTACCGAAGTGAACAGGATGTGAACAAATCCAATCCGACCAGATGTGCTTGTATTGAAAATATTGCATGTATCTCTTATAAAATCTCTCAACAGCCACACCTTTGGACGTCGAGTTGAAAAGAAAGGGATTATGTCTTCGGTCTCACTACCAAAACCCGTTCCGAGAAAGGGAAGGTTTTTGGGAGATTCGACCGCCCTGAGGTAGGGAACAACATTCAGTTCGTTCTTGGGGGTTTGTATCGCTGACCGCAGCATTGAGAGGTTATGAGAACCAGCTTGGCCAACTTCTTTTCCCCCGTCGTCGTCGTCGTCGTCGAGCACGCTTGGTCGGGGTTTGGGTTGGGCGAGGTATGTACTCACCAGTAGACCATTACAATCTGATTCAGAGACCATGAAGGAAGTGAGGTCGACAAACCCAACGTTTGGCTGGGCGGCTATCGCATTACTTGCCCCGTAGCCACGTTGTGTAAGTTTTTCATCATCGTGTTTCTCATGATCATGGGGTTTATGGCAATGCCAGAATTCCATCATCTCCGCCCAGTTCTCACTAGGCAAATCTTTCCAATCTTTAATGGTCCCCCGAGGCACTATCTCATGATGACATGCTCGGCATTGAATAGGTGATTCTTTCTGTATGTCGACGGAACCCCAAGGTAAAGCTTGGCCCTCCAACGAGAGACTGGCTGGTTTGGGTACTGCTGCCGACAAAGGGAGTCTCCAACTTAGCTTTAACGTCCGCTGCTTCAGGTCCGGTAGGGGGAGAATGGGGGGTGCTACGACCCGGGCGGGTATAACCAAGGTGCTGGACTGGGATTGGTGTTGCAGTCGAATTGTCTGGCCATCAATCATGGCCTTGGTTGAGCCATCGACAGGGGACGGCAGGTTTGCAACCACGGATATTTGCCTGATATTGACTAATAACTCAGCATAAATGTACGCACTGCTTTCAGGTGATGGATTCATCATCTCTGCCGATCCCTTGTATCTTCTTGTGATGCTGCATGCCTTGGATTAACGCGGAACTGAGGCGCGTTTGAAAGCACAGTGGGGAGCAAACATTACATAATCAAGTTGGTGTTGGGGAGCAAGTCCGTTGCCTTAGTCAGCTGTCTTCTCAGTGGATTGGATTCAATTGAGAGCTGCTGAGAGCTGCTCAGATCCCCAACAATGATTTCCCCAAGTCCTTCTGTCGAGCGACACCCCACTAAAATACTCATAGATTCCGATAGATACGTACCTGCTTTAATATAATTTATTGGTAGCTGTCGCAAGTGGTCATAGATCGTCACATTGACATCAGCACGCTCCTCCTCCTCCTCACATTATCAATTGCAGACATGGCAGGATTTCTATCATCAGTACCGATCCTTGGCAAGATCACGGGGTTGGGATCCGGATCCAGGTCCATCAACTTACCCTCAGTCGATGTTGACCAAGTTGAGACAAACCCGGACAAAAGGGCTCGATGCCTGAAGCATCTCATTAAAGCAAACCACGTCAACTACTCAGTCGTCTATCACAACCTGCAATATGACAACCACAACCCACACATTCTCGCCTCTGCATACTTCCTTGGCGCCAATGACATCCAGCTTAATGAAATATATGAGAAACAGATCAAAGAGCTGGAACCTTGGAAGGATTCGCCGGCTGAGGTCGCAGACCTTGACTGGCAAGATTTCCTCGGGGACAGGAGGTACCAGCGGGCCTATCTGGATTACTTCGAAGACAAACTCGTAATGAACTACTCTTATGCTTGGAAGAAGGAGGTTGAGCATTTCCTCTTCGATGCTGAAACACCCCTCCTCCATGGATTGATCAGCGGCCGTATGATATTTTCCACTGACCCGAATTTGAGATGAACTGGATAGCTGACGCATATTGTTAGTTGGGCACCCTCTTATCCATCTGGGATATGCATATGAGGTGGATAGTAAAGAGCTGGCTACAGAGGCCTTGTCTCTTTTAGCTGTCCAATACAACTTCCTGCACAAGTATCTTGATGACAGCTCCTACACGAAGCCATCGCCTCTAAACTCCAGTTCTCCTCTGGATCTCCTGACCAAGATGGCAGATGACAAACGCTTCGAGAGCCTGCCACGCAACCCAGACTACAGTGACTTGGAGAGCATCTTCAACGAGCACGAAGAACTCATCCTTGAGTACTGGAATGGGTGGAATCTTGATAACCCGATCAAGGCATTTGAGCTGTCGCAGGAGGCTGCGGTTGCCTTGCTTGTTTCCACAGTTGCGCCGAAGACACATGCCTACAACTTCTTCGTGGTTCATCTCCTCACGACGAGCCATGCGGTTCGCATCCTGTTGCCTTTCTTTCCCCAAGAGTACCGTGTGCCTCTCATCCGTCAGTGGTGGCTGCTCGTCATTAGTGTGGTGCTCATGAAGAACCGCCCTCGCCCCGATCCTGACAATGTTGAGAAGAACGTTGACGGGAAAACGTGGAAATATGTACAAGATCGAGCTATCAACTCGCCCTGGGCCCATGACGCCCACTACGTCAAAGGTTGGTCATTTCTCACTAATTCCGTATTGAGATCCTCAACTAATGATCCCTCATTACAGCTCTTCGTTCCATGAAGGAGGCAGCGAAGACCTGGGGTGACGCACAGGAAAAGTATCTGCGCGCAGCGGTCACGTTTGTTGATAATTTCGAAGGTTGGGCGTATTAATTTATTTGGGAATACGAGAATGATATTCACTCCACTCATTCACCATATTCTATGAATCACTCTTAAATTTGAGATGAAGTAAACTCATGCCGTCACACTTGAGTGGTGGGTCGTGCACTGGGACTCACGGTAGATATTCATGTTGGTGTTTCTTTGGACTGGACGCACATCTCAATATCCATTCAAGGATAGGATAAGGGAGGAAATAAAATGAGAAGCCGACCGAGTAAGCATAACCGCTGGAGATATATATCTCAGTACCTGCTGAGTTTGCAGGTGGGTGAGACGATGTGATTTGGCGTTCATCGGTGGTAGTTCAGCGGGGTGAGGTCACTGAGCGTCAGACGTGAAGTGCCTGTAGCAGGCCAATTTAACGCGATCGGCTGTCGCTGGCGGTCTGGTCTCCAGCGCTTAAGTGGTTGCCCGGCCTTCATCCTCAGCCCAACGATCAATCCCATATAATATCCTTTCCATCTAACAAGACACGGAATCTGACCCTCAACGGCCACTGTACTCGACCATCCGATGCACCCCAAACGGGCAGCCTTCACGAGAAGGACGTGTTTCGCCTCGCCTTCGGCCCTGTCGCGTTGATGGCTCCCCCCGCGAAGCGTCGAAGGCGTGATGCGGTCGATGCCTCGGACGACGATGACGATGACCAGCCTCGACCTGGGAACACCTTGACCAGTTTCTTCACCTCGTCGCTCAGCTCGCCCCCCAAGCCCCAGGCACGGCCTTCTTCGCAAAGCCCCTCCAAACCCGCGACCAAAGCCTCTCCCAAAAAGTCAGCTGCCGCCACCAAGGCCCAGAAGAAGGGCGCGAGCCCCAGCACGAGGCGCTCCAAGGACTTCTTCAATGGGTCGGAGAAGGGCAAATCCGCCGACCTGAAGACCCTCTTCTCGCGCCAGACGCAGCGGACTTCCGGGCTTGGCCAGACAAAGGCGACTCTGCCGGCGAAAGACGTGATCAGCGACCCGATCTCGGACGACGACGACATCTCGGAACTCAAAGCAAGCACGTCAAGCTTTGTTGGGAAGCATGCGAGAAAGAGGGCAAGAAACGGTGCTCAGTTCGCGGCACCGTTGAGCAACGCGGCGCCCAGCCTGCGATTCTTAAAACCGTCCAAGCCTTTCGGGGCTGAAAGCTCAGACGAGGAAGCGAGGCCATGGTCGGAGCGGTTCGGCCCTCGGAACCTAGAAGAGCTGGCAGTTCACAAGAAAAAGGTCTCCGACGTGAAGCGATGGCTGGATGATGTAATGACTGGTCGCCTTCATCAGCGGGCATTGATCTTGAAGGGAGCAGCTGGATCGGGGAAAACTACAACAATGCGGTTACTTGCGAAAGACATGGGTTTCGAGTTGCTGGAGTGGAAGAATCCTACAAACACGCCCGGCCTAGGCTTTGTGTCGGCTTCAGCTCAGTTCGACGAGTTCCTTGGCCGTGGAAGCAAGTTTGGCGCCTTGGATCTTGACGATGATTCCCCAACCCCATTCAGCACGCCAAACAACAGCGCTCCACGGGATCAGCCTAGGCAGGTGATGCTGATAGAGGAGTTTCCCAATACCTTTTCTCGGTCGTCAACGGCTCTGACCTCCTTTCGGAACTCGCTTCTCGGCTATCTCTCCAGGGACACGCCGTCTTCCTCGTTCTTACAGCCGGAGTCTAACAAAGACCCCGTCAAGCCAGTGGTAATGATTATTTCAGAAGCGCTCCTGACAACTACCTCATCCTCGGCAGACAGCTTTACTGCCCACCGACTTCTTGGACCTGATCTCCTGCGCCACCCCGGCGTTAAGGTCATCGAATTCAATGCGATTGCGCCTACAATATTGGCAAAGGCCCTGGACCTCGTTGTACAGAAGGAGGCCCGGAGGTCAGGGAGGAAAAGGACACCCGGACCTGTCGTATTGAAGAGGCTCGGGGAGATTGGAGATATTCGAAGTGCAATTTCATCACTTGAGTTCTTGTGCCTCAAGGGCGACCAAGAAGCAGACTGGGGGTCGAGGGTAGCATTCATCAATGGGAGGAAGAGCGTCCGGGACGGCATCGCGCTCACGAAGAGCGAATCGGAGAGTCTAGAATTGATATCGCAACGGGAAGCAAGCCTGGGAATGTTTCATGCTGTGGGTAAAGTCGTTTACAACAAGCGAGATCCGCCGGTGCCTGGGGACAAGGTCGAAAACCTACCATTCTACCTCTCGCACCTCTCAAGACCGAGGAAGTCGCAGGTTTCGGTGGACACGCTCATCGATGAGACGGGGACGGACACTTCAACGTTTATATCGGCCCTGCATGAGAATTTTGCCGCCTCGTGTGAGGGAGCAGACGACTCCGATCTCACAACGCCGATGGAATACCTCAATGACTGTATCGAGGCACTATCCCTGAGCGACCTTGTTTGCCCGTCAAGGGACTTTAGCTCAGCAGGCAGAGGCGGCGGGTTCTTGGGGGCTGATTCGGGGAGCCATATCGTTCGCCAGGACGAGATAGCATTTCAAGTTGCCGTCCGTGGGCTGCTATTTGCACTGCCCTACCCCGTACGGAGAAAGCCGTCCACGGCCCTGAAGGGTGCCGATGCATTTAAGATGTACTACCCGATGAGTTTGAAGCTCTGGCGGGCCAGGGAGAACCTCGAAGGGCTCGTGGATGTCTGGTCGTCGAGACTTCTCAAGGGCGAGTTCAGCGTGTCGACGAAGAACTTGACTGACGGAGCGGGCGCATTCCGGAAATCCAAGCAACCGGGCGATCTATCCTGGATGCACCGCCAACACCAGAACCGCCAGCAGCAGTCCGCCCCCAAGGCACCCGAAGCAGAGAGCACCGATAACGACGGCGTGCCCATCCTCTCCTTGGGAAGTGCAGCTCGCCGCGAACTCCTGCTTGAGCGGCTCCCATACATGGCGCACATTGCCCGCGGCAACCGTGCAAAGTCGGGGGGTATACGCCTGCAGGACCTCGAGAAGGTGGTCTCGTTTAAGGGAATCGGAGCCGGAGAAGAGGGCTCGTCAGATACGGAGGAGGAAGACACGTCAACGCGCGAGGCATGGGCAACGGACAAACCATCGGAGGAGGCAAGCCCCAAGAAGAGGGCGGCAGGCGTCAAGGCGGATTCTGTAACGACGGGGTTTGCGCAGAAGCTTGTTCTGAGCGACGATGATATCGAGGACTGAGAGTGGAGAGAAGCGTTTGCTCGTATTTACTGTATAATCAAAACTAAAAGAAGTAATAGAATCAAATGGCCTTGAGATGGTCAATACAAGGGGGCGTTTTGGTCTGGGTACATGTCGGGGATCTGGAAGCAGCATTCAACAGCATCACTGAAAGATAGAGGAAATATAGTTCTCATGCAATTATCACCGTGGCTGGAATGATGGATGTGATAACACGATCGATATCATCATTGAATCTTCTGAGTCCATTGTGATAATTAGGGGCCGGGCTCGAGGCATCAATCAATGATACTCGAAGGAGATACTTGGATCGACGTCAGCTACCCCATAGAATCAAGGCTAACCCGGTCACTAGAAGTCCCCTGGAGCATCCAGTGGATCAGATCGCTGCCCACATGAACGAGTGCATGTGCGTCTCCTCATCACGCCTGCTGCCTGGCAAGAGAGACACGGCAACGACTGGACAAGAGGTAATAGGTTGATCATCAGCGGTAAGCACCTCATCGTAGTCAGCATCAAGAGTAGACCATCCCCACCTTCCGCCGCATCTGCAGAGCCAAAGTAAGCCAAAACAAAGCACGACCTGCAGGCTCTCTACCTTTAAACGCCCGCTACAGTACGATCTGCCTGTGCTGTACCACTCACCAGCTACCTCCCAGTAGAGCAGCCTCCCATTCCGCACTCCCTCCTGCACCCACCCGCCCTCTCAACCATGCCGCCGCCCAAGCCAAAGACCCTGCACATCCTCTGCTTCGGCGACTCTCTGACGTCCGGGTTCTGCAACTTCGGCCTGGACGAGCGGCCCTACTCCGCCCGCCTCCAGCAGCGCCTCACAGCCGAGTTCCCGGGCCGGGAGATTCACGTCTACACGGACGGCGAGCCCGGCGAGCTCGTCCTCAACGGGTCCTGGGACGCCCGCCTGAGAGCCGATCGTACGTGAAACCGGGTAGAAACAGCAGAATGCTTTCTCCGCATCTCATCAATGTAAACCGCCTCTGACCTCCCCCCAGTAAACAAGCGCCGCTATGACTGGGTGATAATGCTCGGGGGTACAAAGTACGTAACAACCTCCCCCCTAAGCCCGCACCATATATATATATAGCAGTCTGGCTAATGGGAGCGAGCGTTCTGTTTTACAGTGACCTCGGATCCGTCATCTCCGAAGACAGGATCCTCGAGGCCCTCGAGGACCGGTGGGCCAAGGTCCTCTCCAAGGGCGGCAAGCTCCTCGCCCTCACCGTCCCAGAGTGCCAGAGCAGGCCCGGCTGGCTCGTCGAGCGCAGGGCCCTGCTCAACGACGACATCCTCGCCCACGAGGCGCCCAACTTGTGAGCTCCTCTCATTTCCACCCCCCCCCCGGTCCCACACAGAGGACGGAAACCGGCGAAGTTGGCTAACAGCGTCTTCTCTCAACTCTTGAACACAGCTATTCATTTGATCTTCATTCACGTATTCCGTATCACTCACTTTCCAGGGAGGACCGTGAGAAGTACTGGGACGACGGCCTGCATCTCACAGGCGAGGGCTACTCATGGATGGGAGATCACATTGCCGACGCTCTCCTGCCGCTGGTCAAGGCTGACATCGACGCCGAGAAGGCCTCTCAGAAGAAGACATCCCGGCGGAGAGAAGAAGAGACAGTCGTCTTCGATGAGGAAGGGGATAACTCCAAGGACATCAGCCGGGGCTACGTTATTATTAGAAAGAAGGATTTGGAGTAGAAAGGGAATTTTGGTTATGAACGGCAATTTTCTGGTATAGGCTTTTATGGGATAAATGGGTACACATATTCTTTCTTCTTTATAGTTGTTATTCATGATACCTATGATAATGGATTTTTACTTCATGTCCATCTTCTACATCGCTCTAAAATCGCAATTGTCCTTGAACGCCCTGTGCCATGCTGTCATTTCCGTGCCTGTTCATTAAAGCCAAAGACGCTCTAGGTAGCAAGATGTGTCTCGACGAATTTCTACATTGGTTATATGTTAGCATCATATCTCAGAAGATCTTCAACGCCCACTGCTGAGGAGGTAGCCGGGCTGAGAAGGGGATGGCAAGTGGAACTTACTGGGAAGCGCTGATGCAACGCATTCGTGATGTTTTCAAGCTCCTCCGACAGACTCTCGACATTGGCATCCCACTGGCGCAACTCCTTGCCCACAGTGACCTCTGCACGGCCACTACCTTTCTCTCCGGACGCCTCACCTCGCTCAAAGTATACTATATTATCAAGCTGATCAATACGCCCGACCAGACGGCCCTGCTCGATCATCCTTGCGGTCGTCTCCTCGGCTTTCTCAGCTCCAAGACCGAGAAGCGACCCCAACGCCTCGAACCCGATGTTGTTGTACAGCCTCGAAGCTCCGAGAAGATTGTGGTCCACCACGGCCTTGGCGAGAACCGTGGAGCCATCCGACGTCGTAGCCAGCTGGTGAGGCTGGAGTTCCTGAGCGAACTTGTCCACTTCCTCCGTGGACAAGAGGCGATCGAGGAAGATCTTCTCCAGGATTCCAAATTCCGGTAGCTGAACGGACCGTTCGTCCTTGTAAAGTCGTCCCAGGGTTCGACTCCTCATGGGACCGGCGGGGGCCAGGATGGCGCACTTGGCGGCCATGCTAAGAGTATGGAGACGCTCCTCCTCGGCGATGGCTGACGAGAAGCTCAGCTCATGATACTTGTTGGCAGCGGAGAGGAAGTCACGCTTGGCGTCCTGGATTCGAGCCTGGGAGAGCTTGAAGTGGAGGGTGAGGTCGGGGTCCTCGATCTGGTGCATAATGTTCTTCAGTTTGTTGATATACATCTCGGCCGAGGTGGAGTCGTCGACCTCGAGGTAGTTGCGGACAATGCGGATCCAGATCTCGGCCTTGTGCTTGACCGAGACCTGGCGCTGTGAGCTATCGAGGAGGATCTCGGACAGGGTCCTGGCGGCTTCGACAAAGTCTTCATTCTCCTCGTGGGCTGTAGCTACAAGCTCCTGGATGACGGCAATAGCGTCGGGGAAGGCTGAGGGCTGTGCGTTGAGGAGGACGAGGGTGCGGGTGCCGACATCGATCCAGAGGTCCTGCTTGTTCCCGAGCCCCTTGAGAGTGGTGATGAAGGTGTTAAGGACAGACCGAGTGGCGACTACACCGAGGGAGTTGCTGAATATGGCCTCGGCAATGGCGACCAGGTCATCGGCGGCGGTGGAGGGCGACGATATATCCTGGATCTGGGCGAGGATGCTCTCGAAGGCGGGGCCTTGGTCGCTGGAGAGCTTTGTGGCACTGGCCAGAGCCTCGGAGACTTTGGCACTCGGCGCCATGGCGGATGATGTTGGGGGATTCGAAGGGGCTGCGAGACAGAAGTCGGATCAAGAGCGTTGAGACGCAGGCAGAGGTTCTGCCCGGTTCCGTCTCGGTGTGAGTGTCGTGAGTGACTGGCAGGCAGTAACGGTGCAGTAATGCCATTGAAGCTGGTACAATCAGCAAGAGCTCAGGGAATGAGCCCCTCATGTGGTCCGTGCACGGACCAGGCACCTCCACCACGGCGTCTGCCTAATCCTACGACACTGGTCATTGGAGACAGCCTCATTATCAAAATCTAGACATGTATTTCCTCGAGATATCTGGAAGGAGGAGAGGTGCCAGTTTTGAAGCTTTTTTTCTTTTTTTTTTTCTTTTTTGTTCTTTTACAGAAGTCTGCCAGAAACATGTGTATCATATTTATGTTCATAATGGCTCTGCAGTAACTGATGAATATTATTTCAAGTGTGGATGTATCTCATTGTGCACGTACATCTTGATATTATATCCACAGATCAGAGATACAGTAAGCCTCATTACCACGCAATCATCATTATCGAGACCGCCGGTCTACAAAAATTGGGGCGGCAGGTGGGAGTGGCTGCATATCAACACAGCGATTTCAACCCCCCCCAAGCGGTTGTCTGGTGATGCTACTACCAATTAACATCCACACCACCTTTGTGAGGAGAATTGCACAGCAATTTTAACCCCCCCCAAGCGGTTGTCTGCTTGATAGTGACATTGAACTGCTACCAATAAGATGGCTATAACACCACTGTGTTAGCAAGAGGTGTACAGCAATTTTAACCCCTCCAAAGTGGTTGTCTGATTGATGGTGACATTCAATGGCTACCAATAGAATAGCCACTTACGTTTTCCGTGTGCATGCACAGCAATTTGAAGCCTCACGTAGTTGTTGGCAGGCGTACACCAGATTGGTGAAATATAGGCTAGTTAATGTACGTGGCAATCCAAATAGCTTCATTTTAGAATAGAAGGAACAATTCCAGTTCCTCTAATATCAAATGCGACCCAGCGAATTATTCTTATAGCTCGATAACCTATAGGTAGATCATTACAACAGCCTGATTGGTAAAGAGTCGCCGGCACTTCCCTTCCAGGATGATTGAAGTCAAGGTGCCAAGCCTGACAACCGATTGGGGAGGGTTGAAATCGCTGTGCTTTAGAGTAAGTCTCGCTGCACATTACCTAGGAATGGACGTATGTGGCATGGCGGGGTGCAGGGAATAGATCATTGGCCGAGCAGAAATCGCAACGTCGCCTCGCACGATTCCATCGGCACCAGCCGAGATTTGGCGTCGATCTCCAGCCATCATCAATCACATCACAACCACCATCGGCTCGATAGCTTCGTACTAGTATCATCCAATATTCATTTCGCATTCACGCGCACGCCCATCCTTCCAGCCCGCGTCTATCCAACAGCACACCCTCACCAACATGCACGGGCAGAAAACCCAGGCTATTCTTATTACTGTGGGGTTCTCACCGATTCATGTCTGAGCCCTCGGGACCTTCATCTTTCCCAGCTTGGCATTCCACGCCAGCCAAGACGGACGGGACGGCCTTTTTATCCATGTCAACAATGGATCCAGCCCTGTGCCACACATTGCCGGCTTCCCGTCGCCAGCATCATGCATTCCGCCTCCTGCTCCTCCCTTCCCCCTAAGGAACCGCCCAGCAGCGAGAGGCACCCATCTCCATGAATCTCGAATGCTTCTACGGCCCTCGTCTGTGAGCCGCCGGCTCAGAAGACCCTCGTCTCTGCTCCGCTTCTGCGCCGGCCTCGCCCTGGCCGCCCTCCTCCTCGACACTCTGCTCCTCACCAGCCAGCTCCCGCCATCCCACCGCTCCAGCACCCGCCGGATCCCCCGGAACCCCCATTCCCCCAACCAGACGGTCTTCATAGCCTCAGTCCATCGCGATTCCGCTCCCCGCCTGCACGCCACGTGGAGTGACGCCGTCGTCCAGCTCATCGGCCTCCTCGGCCCGGACAACGTCTACTTCTCCGCCGCAGAGCACGCCTCCTCGGACGGCACCATCCCGGAGCTCGTCCAGCTCCAGCAGCGCCTCCACGACTTGCAGGTAGGAAACACCATCCACCTCGGCCGGACGGCATGGGACCTCGAGAACGAAGCCAACGGCGAGCCGCGGCCGCCCGGGAGCGAGGCCGGATGGCTCTGGCATCCCGAGCATCAGCGTTGGGCCCTGCGCCGCGTGCCCCTCGACGCCCAGGCGAGGAACCAGGCCCTGCTCCCCCTCCGTGAGCTCCACCTCAAGCAAGGGCGCACCTTTGATCGGGTCCTCTGGCTCGACGACAACATCATATTTCGTCCCGAGGATGCCGTGTCACTCCTCGAGACCCGTGACGGCGATTACGCGGCCGTCTGCAGCGCCGCCCAAGCCGGGCCCTCCACCCACCGTCTGAACGCCCTCACCCTCCGAGACGACGGCGGCCATCTGCCCGTTAGCACCAACTGGCCCTGGCTCTCCTCCTCGACATCCCGCTCCGCCGCGTGGGCCGGGTCGCCCATCCCAGTCCGCTCCTGCTGGGGCGGGATCGTCGCCTTCGATGCCCAACCGTTCTACGACCACGACTCCCCGCTGAGGTTTCGAAGCGTCAGCGACGAAGTGGCAGCTCTTCACCTGGAGGCATCCGAGCGATGTCTCATCCACGCCGATAACCCGCTAGCCGACTCCAGAGGCATCTGGGTAGAACCGTCAGTATGGACCGCGCTCGACTGCAAGGAGGGATGCTGGAGAGTCGCCCGCCCCCTCTCCCCGGACACCTGGCTCACAGCCATGAGGGGAGTCTGGTTCAACCGGCTGGGGACCTGGCGAGGACCCCGATCCGGCGCGGAGACGAACCCGGAACTCCCCCGGGTGAGGGGCTGGGCTGCCCGCGGCGATCCCCGGATGGACGACGGGGCCGTCTCGTGCCTGATGGACGAGATGCAGATCATCAAGAGAACCAAGTGGACTTTCAAACTGTCGAACGTGGGATCGTAAGTTCTCTTGTAGATTTAACGTTAGAACCAAAAAATAAATAGAAACAAAAAAAAAGTTAAATAGACCAAGAAAAGAACCAAGAGTCCCTTTGCCGTGACGCCAATAGATGCTCTAAAACAGCTCCCAAGAGTTTGTCATACACATATATGCTCTAAGTCTCATGAGTTCCTATCCAATGCCCAGAAACGCCTATAACAAGAAAACAGCCGCCAAAGATATCAAGAGAGGCGACAGGCCCGACGCAAGAAAGAATCGCAGCTTTGGACGCCTCAAGATGCGTGTTTTCCCGGCGGTTGCCCGCACACCACCTCTATTTGTTGTGCCAGAGAAGCGTCCGCAGCGAGTCCCAGTCGTCGCAGTCCCGGTAGATGTACACCATGCTGCTCCTCAGGCTGGACTGCAGCTCCTCCGGGTGGTAGCGGAAGAGCAGCATGACCATGGCCCAGCTGAGCGACGCGAACGCGGGCCAGGCGTAGTGGTTGATGCGCGAGTGCAGAGGCTCCGCGGACACGACCGGGAACCCGACGCCGGGCTTGACGGCGAGGCGCGCGAGGGCCAGGACGACCCGGGCAAAGACGTAGATGACGATTTGCTGGTTGACAGACGAGATCTTCCCTGATCGCTTGGAGCGCCCGCCAAAGACGAAGTAACCGCCGACCAGGCCGGAGAAGAAGGAATCATAGGTCCCTGTTCAAACTCAAGTTAGCCAGGTGTCTTGCCTATGGCCGAGACGTCAATAGAAGCGCAGCGATTGCCCAATACATACCCTCTTTTCCTGGCGTAGCGCCAAAGTGCTTTAGCGCAAGCATTGTGAGTTTGTATATCGTTGCGAACCGGGCGAGGTTGGAAGCGTGGTGTCGCGTGGCCCTAAAGACAAGCCCAGCCTTTTGTCGGAAACTATATCCATCGTCGTTAGTGACTTGGTATACCAGGCACAGTACACAACACAGGTATTCAGGGATATTCGGCGACGAGAGTATTCGGTAATGGTTGGACATACGTTCCAGATCGGAAGAGAAAGATCATTCTAGGTGGCTGTTAGTCGAGACGGGTCGAATTGAACGGGGTGGCGGGCCCGACTGACACTAAGGCATGAGGGAATCGGACCTTGGTGCCGTATACGGCACCATTGCGCGCGGTCTTGAGAAGAGAGAGGACATCGTGGTATCGAGGGTTTCGGACTATCTGCTCGAGCGCATCCTACAACGCCAGTCAGCACGTGCGAGGCCAGGGGGCGGTGAGTAGGATCGGATCGAACCTTTAGCACCGCTATCGAAGCTGAGACCGAAGATGACATGTCGCCTGCTTGAGTATGAAGGTTGGTCGCTGTGAGGATCGAGGACGGGCAGCCAGAAGCGACACAGGACGACAGTCGAGGTGGGAGCTTGGGAGCTTGGAGGGCCGCAGGCTAGCCGAAGGGAGACCCCGTATGCTGTGCAGGAGACGGTAGATAGAGATGGATGGGATACACAGGTTGGAGCACAATGGACGGGAGTTGGGATCTATAGCGACGACTTCTAATGTGCGGAGGGTGTGGAGGATGGAAATTGAACTCCAGAGTTGGCCCGATTCACATCTGAACGCAATGACGACGGACCTCGGGACATGGCCAGCTTCGGCTGTTCAGTCAGGTGGGAGACCCTGCTGAAACCTGGCGGTACATGTGGAGGTATCTCCCGTTAGCACACCATCTCAGCCGCCAGCACCAATGGGGGAAAAGACCCGTTGCACCCTAGCAGGAAGCACCTTTGATCCACCCACAGGTACCTCCGTCCCGTGGCATACCAGCTGCTAAATTTACTGTGGCCTCTAACACTAATTAGCTGCGCTAATGACGGCATATGGACCTCAAGCGATGATAGTGTGTGGGGGAAGACTGACATGTGAAAACACCATTTCTCGGCCGCAGGGAACTAACTTCCCCAGTCTCCCAGCTCTGATAGGCATCCCCCCATTATCTAGATCAGATCACAAAACAGATCTTACCTGATATCGGTGTGACCCAATTACCCCTCACCACTTTGATTACTTCCATATGAAAATCTACTCGATGCCTGGGACCAGGGTGACACTCCATGCATGTCGCTGTTTCCGAGATAACCAAGACGGGGCAAAGAACCATTGATTAATACCTCTGGGTCAACACCATCTCTCATGTGGCTCCCGCCATTGCACGCCCAGCACCTCAAATATTCTCCTTTCATCCCTGCTTTCCACGAGTTCTCCCTCTGTTACCTTGGCCCGCCCAGGTCCCCGCATGACGTCCTTGTAGAGACCACGTTGGTTCAACCTCATCCCTTTCTTTGACGCCAACAATCGCATACTGCGGTTGAAGATGTCATTTCCGGTAAAGTAGAGTAATGCAGCACCCAGCTCAGACGCAGGTACCACCAGAAAGTCAATTCGCCTCCAGATCGAGTCATGTTCCCCCGTGTCTGCATCGCGCCCCCCCTCAGGTAACACACAACACCCGTGCCATTTGCTCCCGTCACTTCCAGTCCGCGAGGAGGCCAGTCTCGCGACGAGAAACTTGCTCTCTTCGAGGCGCTGTACCAACTTGTCGAGGAATGGCCGCAACTCGAGCGACGACTCTGTCCCAGGCTTCGTGACGATGAAGTCTATATCACCCGATTTATCTGACCCTCTGCGGTAGCTGCCCCCAATGATGAGCTCCACGTCGCGGTCAATAGTAGCTGCCGTCTTCTTCACAACAACTCCAAGAGCCTCAACCTCACTGCGAGGAATCTTGGTGTTCAGGTCGTCGTAGTGCTCGATACCCAGCAGCTGATTGGGGGTGAGTTTCGCCTTTTCCTTCAGGTCCTCCAGCGTGCGGAATCCCTGAGCAATCCATTGCTGTGCCTGGCTACTCCCTACGCCATATATTTGTAGAAATAGTTGCAACGCTTCGTCCAGTGGCTCTGCCTCGGCATACTCCAATCTCTGTAGTCGATCTGTAGTCACAATTTCCTCAATCTTCTGTGCCAATCGCCGGCCGATATTCGGAAGTCGGAAGGCTTCCTCCTCGGTCGTGATCTTGACGGTCTGCCGTTTAAGGGTGCTAATGACCTTGCGATATGCAATTGTGCGCCATTGGTCGTTTGTCCTGTCATAGTAGCTTGCCATCTTTTCAAGTATCTCAATCGTTCTGGAGTTAGGGTTGCCTCCTTTTGCATCCTTGACTCCCGCATGATTACATGCAAAACGATCCTCAAAGCGAATACCTTTGCGATTGGGTTTCTGATCGGACCTGGCTGGCTTTTTCTTGCTTGAGATCTCACCGTCTGACCCTGATTCTCGACCTGAGCCTTCAGAGACATTCGTCTCCTCCTCCTCATCTGCATCTAGCGGAACGTCCTTATACTCCTGCATAAGTGCGATGTAGTCAGATAGTTCATCTTTGTGTGTGCTTGGAGGCTTGGTCCGGCTCGCTGGTTCATCGACTGGGGAGTCGGGGTCATCCATCGCCACGACAATACTATCAGCGATGTTGCCGTCTGCGCACGGCTCTGCTTCTGATTGCTCATCTCTCGAAAACCCCAAGTCGAGCTCAATAGGCTGCGAGTCCATCGGGATGGGCGTCCCGCTCACATGGCTTGCCTGAGAGGCTGGTGATTCCTCTCTTCTCTGTGGCGATTCTTCAAGAGGGACATAATCCCATTTGCTCCGGTTTTTATGCGGAGGCTTCAGTTGGAGCGATCTACTCAGACCTTCAGAATTTGGGGTCGTAGGATGCGTAGGTTTCCCTGACACCTCGTCCTCGCTAGCAGGGTCTACAGTAACGGGTGGCGGTTGCCCTGTGAGAAGATATTTGGCCTGCGTAGGGTCCAGGATTGCTTTGAACTGGATGCAGTCAACGGGGTAATCTTCATTCACAAGAACGAACGGCTCCGTCACTTTACGACCCTTGGAGATGATCTTCTCGATGTCTTTGTACGAGATGCTCCTGTCCACCACAACATGCGTCGCCCTGTCCACCGCTCCCGTCCTCGTCGCGCCGTACTCGACTGCCTTCGCAATCCGTTGCCGCCGCGTCGGTGCAATGTCATTATCCGGGATGTAAAAGAACTCCAAACCTCTGAATATCTGCTCGTGCTCCGGGCGAACCTTGGCGGGCCCCGTTTTACGCCGCTTCGCAGCTGCAGGTCCCCGGGTCGAGGGCGCCGGCGCCGTCGCACCACGAGTGTTGCGCAAACGTTTCATAGGTGGAATGGCCGGTGTTGGATCGCTCGGCCGCAGAGTCTTGCCTGCGGCCTTGGCGGAGTCTGGTATCACCGTGTCGCCATCCGTGGTGGGCACCGGCTCTGAAAGCCGTTGGCTTGGGCCGTTCTTAGACCTTCTCCTTCCTCTGTTATCCCCTTGAGTAGGTTCTACCCTCTGAGTGGGTGTGGCTTTGATGATCTCGACCTCCTTCGAAAGGTCTATTATCTCAGGCTCTGGTGTAGCCACTGAAAGCGGCCTAAGCATCGAGCCGTCTTCCGCCGCGTGTTTGGGAGCATCGCGCTCCGAACGGGACTCGGGCTTTGGCTCAAAAAAACATCGACTCTTTCGACGTTGGGCTAATTCAGAGATGGCCAAATCGTCATTCCCAGAAATTGACGATTCAAACTGTTCGAAAAAGTCGACTTTCCGTGAAAAGGCTGAATGCTTCGAGTCCATCATGTGTCGAGAGAGGCCGATTTATGAGGCAGGTGCCAGTGTGAAAACATCGGCGTTACATAATAGTGAAGCGAAAATAATCTGGGGAAGATGAAAATCAGGCAGACCTTGTGACTTCCGAATCTGCATGTTTATTTGTAGATGGACTGGGGGACAATAGATGATGGATGCTCGTGAAGAGTCTAAGCTTAACAGCTGCTGCCTGCGGCTGCACGCGGCTTGAGGCAACTGAGTGCTCGAGGATGGAGCCAGTGAATGTAGGTATCTTTGTGCAAAGCTACCTATAACCCCATGCTCAATGGCTGGAGAATTAAGTATCCACAGAGAGGGGTACCACAATTCAAGCTTTGGTGGAGTAACAGTCCGATTTGCTTCACTCACTCTTCTCACGAGGCCGCATGAATGATAAACATCGCGTATTCTATATGAATTATTCATTAACACGCCAGGTTGCCCTATATAAAATTATGTTCAAACAGTGTATAGTCTCAAAACCCCATACATAACCCAATACCAGCGAGACATGAATCCAGACAAGGCGCCCAGCCACTCAGGAGCGCTTCTAAAATATCACAAACCCCCTTTCACTTTCCTCGTGAAAATAAGCAAGCAGTCATATCACTTTTATATAAGCCCTAAATCCCCAAGGTACCCAGAGAAGAGAAATAAAAAGGAAGCGAGGGACGAGAGGGGTTCCATGCAGATATCCAAAAATCCGTGGTGAACCCCTACAGTAATACACACAATCAAAATATATACCAGGGTATCGAGATCATTTAAAAACAGATATATGGTGTAAAAATCAGAAACGCCAACCGGGAGAAAGATAAGCTCATTACCCATGCCCCATGGGCATTGACGGTCCTGGTGATGGTCCTGCGCCTCCTCCAAACATACGCGCATCCACCATTGGGATACCGTGCTTCTCAATCATGTGGTACGCGTTCGGGTCAGCCGAATAACGGCTTCCGGCTTCGTGATCGACATCGTTGAGAACTTCTCGGGTGAGCTCCACATAGTCGTAGGCGAACTCGCCAATCTCGGCGTCGTCGATACCCAGAATCTCCGCATCTTCCGAGGCGCGGATTTGAAGCCCAGGAATTCTGTTGAGGATGGTCAAGATCAAACAAGTGCCACAGAACGAGTATAGGCCACCTGTGATCGAGTCGGCAACTTGATACCCAAGCTGGATCCAATGATGGTTGAGCCATCCTCCATCAATGCTTGTGACTCCATCAAGGGCTGCAATATAGTCGGCTGCAAAAAAAGCCGTCAGGATATTTCCCACCAAGCCTCCGACTCCGTGCACAGCGAAGATGTCAAGTGCGTCGTCGATGCGTAGAAGGAACTTGAGTTTTGTGGCGTAGTTAGAGAACGAGGCCCCGAGAACTCCGAATATCACAGCGGCCCATGGGGGAACATATCCTAATAAACAAAATCAGTTAGTTTCTGATAACACGGAGAAGTCGAGCGGAACGAGCCATAAAGATCAGCCTAGGAGAAGTAGAGGTGCTATTACGTACCAGAACCTGGTGTGATGGACACAAGGCCAGCCACAACACCAGAGCAGAAGCCAACTGTAGACCACTTCTTCTCCAGCCGGTAATCAAGGAGACACCAAGTCATACCACCCACGCAAGCGGCCAGGTTAGTCACCACGGCAGCCATAACAGCACGCAGGTTAGCACCCAAGGCAGAGCCCGCATTAAACCCGAACCAGCCAACCCAGAGGAAGACAGTCCCGACGACGATGTGAGCAACATTGTGGGGCCTATAGTTGAGTTCGTGCGTTCCATGCCCACGTCTCTTGCCGAGCATCATCGAATAAGCCAGGGCCGCGGAGCCAGACGCAATGTGCACTGGCGTTCCTCCGGCAAAGTCCAGACCACCCATCTTGCTCGACCAGCCGCTAGGGTTCCAAGTCCAGCACGCAATAGGGTCGTAGATGATCGTCGCCCAGACAAACATGAAGATGGCACAGGGCAGCATGCGTCCACGCTCAGCTACAGCGCCGGTGGCGAGCGCCACGGTGATGGCGGAGAACATGCCCTGGTAAACGGCGAAGAGCAGATCGGGAATACGGTCGGATGCAACCGACGGGCGTGCCAGGACGTTCCGGAACCCAAAGTTTTCAAGGTCACCGATGAAAGGGCCGGCATTGTGTGAGAAAGTCAGGGAGTAGCCCCAGAAGAACCACTGGAAGCAGGTGACGCCCACGGACATGATCGAGAGCCATATCAGAGAGAGGGCGGATTTGCGTCGCGCGAGACCAGAGTAAAAGAAGCTGAGACGCAGGGATTCACAGTCAGTATTCTGAGGGCTTGCTCGTTCCACGTTGGGAAAACGTATGACAAGTAAAAAGGCTGCGCAAGGCTGTGGCAGAACTCACCCAACTCCTGGAATCATCAGCAGCACCAGAGCAGTGGCAGTAATAACCCATCCTATATCGCCCGGCTATGTGGAAAGATATGTCAGTTCAGATGTCATGGCACGTGCTGGAGGGGCAGCAGCCGAGAGTGAGGATTTTCCTGGGTCGCGTGCTTCCAGGAACTGCTGAGAGCGGTGGTTTACCTGGTACCAAACGTTGACATTGAACTCCAGGGGATTCGCCCCGGAATTGCCAGTCCCATTGTACGGGGAGCGAGCCGCGAGGTTGAGGTCCCGTTCGTCGATTTCTGCGGCCATTTCTAGATGACTGCCAAGGTAGGTTTGGTCGCTGTTGCGAGAGCAGGGGGAAGAGGAGAAGTAGAGGCGTTGATCTCGTCGAGCAGCCGAATAGGCAGTTTTCAGCTGGGGTCGCAGGCAGTACGTCACGCCGCCGGCGGTAGTGGACCTGCTAACAGCGAGCGGCAGCGTCGGGGGGCAAATCGGTAATCAGGGAGGGGCCCCAGTGCATATCACGGCCAAGGCACAGGCGCCGGCTTTCGCTGCGACGGCACGATCAGGACTGCTTCTGGATTATTCACAGCGGGCGCAGGTCGAGCACTGAAAATAGACCGCTCAATCAAACCGATCAACCTGGGGATAGAAATCGGCGGTCGTGGAGAATGAGGTGGAAAGCATTGACCCAGGCTGGCGTCTGACTCGAGCGGCCGTTATGTCTTATTATCTCTGCGGGCGGCCCTTGGCTTTGCCCGCATAGGTACATAGCCTTCGACGATGAACTAGACCAGGGCGTCAGCCATGCTTATCTCGACCAATCAGCACATCCCCCAGTCACTCAATGATAAGACAGAGCCCATTCACTGGTCATTCTGTTCCCTTCTCCTACCTTGCGGCGATCAATTCGACGCAGAGAGGCGGTCGGTCTCTATGCTTTCACCGAGCTCACGATACTATTAGAGTTTTCACTGTAATTGGATATTCAATATCATCTATTGATACCAATACCGAGACACCTCATCGATTGGACCCTTGGGAAGCCCCCCTCCATTTCTTGCCAACGCCATAATCTCCAAGTAACTTTACCCAGCCGATCAGACACTAATTCGCCTTAGTATAACACACCCTCAGGAGGGAATTTTAGAAAAAAAAGAAAAGAAAGAGTCAACAATTTGCCCCGGCTCTGAGATTCGATTACCATCCTGTCCTTATCGGGAGACATCACCCCCTGGTCCCCGCACACAGATCCTAGTCGAAAGCTCTATCTCTCTCTGATATGATTCTTTTCAATTAATCATCCCTACTGTTCATCGCCTACAGCCCATTATTCACACCCCTTATTTATCTTTATCAGCTGCTTCGCCCTGTACCAACAGGCACGCATGACAAGGGTCTCAGCGACCTCCCCCTTCTTTCATCCAAGAAAAAGGAAATTAGTCTATTTGGGATGGCTGCCTCTTCAGTCCATCCCCAGATGTGTAGTCCATATTGCTTGATTACAGTCAGGAAAACCCCAATTGCGGTTTTGGGGACTGATAACCAGCCACATCCCAGCTCCCCGTACTTCCCTAGTGCTAGTGAGCACCCTGGCCGATGGCTTATCGCTTCCCCAAACCCCACGAATCCATCACATCACCTCATCGTCATTCCTCACATGTAAGGCAGTTGGTTGTGGGACAAGGAGAGAAATCGGATCATCATGGATCCTAGTCATCTCATCTTCGGGACGCCCTTAGATAACTACGTTGCAGATTTGGCTGTGCCCATTATATTAGTAGTTTGCTGACAGGAATGGCCGATACCAGAAAGCCTAAATGTGTACGGCTCCTAATGATCGCCTCAGGAGGTACTTCAGGCGCATGAAATTCCTTCGTTGCGCTTGGCCCCCGTCATTGCAGATGGCAGGATTCGCCTCGCCAGCCTCATTATGCACATCTTCAAAAATGACCAAAAAGAATGTTTCATACACAAGCTCCGATACGGGGAATCGAACCCCGATCTCCACGGCGCTCACAGTGGTACTGAAAGCGTAGTGTGCTAACCGTTACACCATATCGGATGGGACACTCTGATTGGTTGGGGAGCAGCAGGGCTATTCAATTGAAATCCCATTGCACCCGGAAGTGGGGGTAGAAGAAAAAGTAAGCGGCAAAGAAGGCGGTCAGGACTGACAAAAAGCAAAAGGGAACTCCGATACGGGGAATCGAACCCCGATCTCCACGGCGCTCACAGTTGTTACTGAAAGCGTAGTGTGCTAACCGTTACACCATATCGGATAGTTACTGGTTGCTGTGGATTCCGGGTGTAATTAGTATATACTAGGGTCTCTTGACCGGATAGCGTGTCGCCGCACTTGGCAGGTCAACAATGCCATACAAACCAGCAACAAATTGGCTGGTTTTAAAGCACAATGCTACACACCTTGCAGCCACGTCACCGGGGAAAAAGAAAATAACTGCTGAAGAATCCTCGAGGATTGGGTGCATCGGTCTGGAGATAAGACTTATTATATGTCAGCCAAATTACTTGCCTACCTACCGAATCCAACAAGCACTGCCTGGCAGGTGTCAAACTGTCGATCTCATGCATCAGATAGCTGGCAAGCATGCTATGAGGTAAGACAATGTTGTAATTAGCTTTCGATGGGTTGCAGACAGGGTCCTGAATCTATTTCTGTTGAAAAACAAAACACGCCAATAATAGCTAGTCATCAAAAGCTGACTTGCATCTCCCATCTCCGTTTCATACACACAGATATGATATGATGACCATCGTTGACTTAAATAAGATCTTAATATAATTGGGTTCTAATCCTAAGTTCCTTGATAATCCTTCTACCTCCATGACAACGATTAATATAATACATCTGGAAACATTGAAGTAAACATTAAGATATAAGTGGCCAGAGCAAGCTTCATCCAGCAAGCAATGGCATGTGAAGAGAAGCAGTCACACACTGATAACCGCCAACACGGCTCCAACCCGACAACAATTATGAATGCTTCAAGTAGCCCATCCAAGCGATCATCCCCAAGACCAGTAGCCATCCCAGTTTCACTTTTTCACCGTAATTACGGCCTTTATACCAACGTTTATCAAATTGATCAGCCCAAGCCAATACATATTCATTCGAAAGACAAGGGGAATAATAACCCAAGAATGTAGAAACGCCAGTCGCTCAATGCAGGAGATTATCCTGAAGGGGTAAAACCAAATGGTAAAAGAAATGTATGCAAAAAAAAAATAAGCAAGGAAAAAGAATTACTCGTAAGCCAAACGGTCATTACTGGCCTACAACTCATCGGAAGGCCATAAATCGCTGATCGACAGGCTTGGCCTGCTCGCCTTCGAGAATCTTCTGCAGCTTCCTAGTCTCTCGGACTGCTGTGTCCCGCTCTTCTTGCAGGTTCAGGACTTCGATCTGGGCGGTGCTCATTCTAGTAATCACCTCTTGCATCTCATTCTCTGCGTCAGCAAGAGCCTTCTCAAGCTCCGCGACCTTTGCACGGAGGCTTGTCATCTCGGCTTCATCTTCAAAGGTCTGGGCCTCAATGAGATCAGGGAAGGGGATCTGGGAGCGAGACTTGCTCAACATGGAGCCCGATCGGCTGCCTTTCACAGCAGGGGACCTTAGGCCCGCAAGGCCAGGGCTGCCACCAATGCGCAGAAGCTGAAGGTTGTGGGCATCTCGGAGCTTGGAGACCTCCTCTTCATGACGGGTGACCTGGTCCTCAGATCCTGATTGTGCGGAGACGAGCTGCTCTTCGAGGGCTCCGAGGTGCTCCATCATAGCAGTGATGCGGTCATTGTTTGCCTTCCTATCTGCGTCACCCCGTGTCACAGCATCGGCAAGGCGCATTCGGAGCTCCGAGTTGGCACTCAGCTGCTGCTGCACCTGCGAAGCCAGCGTCTCGACATACCGAGCTGTCTCGCAGAGTTCATCAGCCAGGGCGCTCTCAGCTTGGACACTCCTGGTCTCGTTTGCATAAGCTTCATCATAGCGGTTTCGGAAAGCATCAATCTCAGACTTAGCAAAGTCGCGCTCAGTGATGGCAACAGAAACGGCCCTTTCGAGGCGTCGCATGGCCACCTTTGTCTTCTCGTCGCCGTTGATTCCAGACTCGAGGTTCTTGATACGTTCAAGCGACTCAGCATAGGCAGCCTGCAGTTTCTCGTAGGCCTGGCTAAGGGACTCGGATGTCACAGGCTCGCGCTCTCCATCGTCCGACCCACTCATACGCGCCATTGTCTCGGGGATGAGAATGTCCTTCTCATTCAGGAGTTCTCGGAGAGACGCGATCTCGCCTTCGGCCCTGTCGAGATCCATTTTGAGACCGCTTAAGCCCTTCTCAACCTGCCACTTTTGGTCGAGCGCGTCTTCCGCTCTTCGGCGAAGTACATTAATTTCCGTTCGGAGGTTCATGATCTCTCTCTCGAAGCCCTTCTTTCCAGGGCCACTCAGCAGGCGCTGACGTTCGTTCTCTAATAGTTGAATCTTCTTCTGATATTGGCGATTCTGAACCTCTTGACGATCCAAGAGACTCTTCAAGGCCCCGTGAAGCGCGTCACGCTGAGCTTCGACATCTTTCAAGCGTTCGGAAAGCGCCTCCCGGGATTCCGTCTGGGGACCGCCCCGAACACTGCTGGAACGTCCAAGGCCAGTAGGTCTCTGACCGCGCATGGGCCCTCCAGCCACCGAGTTTGAGCGGGACAACCCGCCCGACAGTCCACCTGAGAAAGCACGAGAGGCTCGGTTTTGCACATCGATGGGGCCAACAATGGAGCTGCGCTTGAGCGTCATGTTTTCGGACCTAAGGTTTTGGAGTTCTTGTTGCATCTTTGACGACTCGTACGTAAGATTTGTATACTCCGCCGCTTCTGCTTCGAGGCCTTCAACCCGCGCACGGAGCTGCGGGACCACCTCATCTCGTAGATTGTCTCGTTCATTTGATGCTTCTTGAAGCTCGCTCTTTAGGGCAGACAAGAGGTCCTCAAAGTTCGATCTCGATGATCGTTCGTCGGACAAGCGACGTCTTAGATCTTCACAGGTGGTTTCGAGATCTTTTACTCGCTCGTTGGCGTCCAGATTATTAATCTGCGCGAGGTCGATCTGTGATGCTTTTTCTGCGAGTTCCTTGATTTGCTGATCAAGGGCTCTGCGTCGTGCCCTTTCATCTTGGACTTTGTTCGTCAGCTCTAAACGGATAGAGGCTTTTTCTTGCTCGGCTCGCCGTTGAATCTTGTCGATTTCATCACGGGCCTGTTCTGATTCACCGGCCTTGGTAGAGCTGTATCCCGAGTCCGAGAAATAGTCACTAGTTCTCTTGCTTGGTGCTTGGGAACTACTGACCTGCTCCTGCAATCGGTCAACGAGATCCTCCAAGTCTATCTCGCGCCGGATGGACGAAGCCAGCTCGGAGCTGATGGCTCTTAGTTCGTCCTCCATCTCATCTATAGGAAATGATGACTGTGACGAGGGTAATGATGCGGAGAGGTAGGAGTCAGAGTATCCGAGAGCATTTGATGAGGCTGCATTGGGCGTTGTGCTCTCGGTCGTCCGCGATCTGTTTCCAACGCCTTCGCCTGACCCTCCTCTTCCGGATGGAGAAGAGGGGGACGATATCGAGAACTCGGTGCCTGACGGCGACGGGTTCCCTCCCCAACCAAAGAATGCCGCGAACGGCGATGCTGCGCCTGGGGATTTCGGTAGTGGTTTGTTGCGATTCGAGTGGATCGACTGAGGAGAAGCAGCCTCGAGTTCTTCATTCAACACGTTCTGCGCAATGACGGTGTCTACTTTTTGTAATTGGAGATGCGGAGGAGTTGCTTTTTGTGCAAACATGGGAGGCGGGGAATTGGCTCGCTGATCAAGATAATCCGAGTACGTCGACTCGTTGTCGTCGTCGTCCTTGTCGGTCCGATCTTCCACAATGGTACTAGGGGTCTTGACCGTTCCAGCATCCGGTGTCACGTCGGACAGCAGCTCGTCGTACGCGGAGTAGGCAGACAGTACGTCGGACGTGTCGCCCTGGGAGTGTTGGTCGGCGTTTGGAATGCCGGGCGCGTCGGAATAACGGTCGTGAAACAGGGCTGAGTTTATTTCGAGACTGAGGCACAGGAACACATTCCAGTTAGAGAAACGGGTCTCGTCGGACGGGTTACACAAGTTGCGCTCCCGAGGAATTGGGTGATATCAATTGACTTACGCTGAAGCAATGTTAGGCCTGGAGGCCTCGGCAGGGAAATACTCGTATATAGTCGGACTGTCAATTGAACCAGACCTTGAGAAGCGGTGATCCGGCTTGGGAAGGTCGGCGTAGGACAGGATCGTCGACGCCGTAGACCCCTGGGAACGGTGAGCGGACCTGGCCGAGGTTGATATCGTCGAGGGAATGGGCTTCCTCTTGATGCGATTCACCGACGCCCGAGCAGGAGCGTTGGAGAATGATTCAGAAGTCGACGAGGTGGCACTGGAGCTGGAGGTAGTAGGACGAGGCTGGCCGTCGGTTGTGTGTGGACTTGGCTGGTGGGCGCTATTGGCAGTAGTAGAGTGATTAGGTTGGTGATGGTGGGAAGAGCTCGGAGGAGAAGAATCAGGATAAGATGGAAGATTCGATGAGATCGGCATAGCCTCCTGAGGTCCAGGTGAAGAGGGGATAGGTTGTGATGCCATTTTGGGATAACCAGTCAGCCACCTTGCCTACAAGTGAATGTGTTATCGACGGGACCTGGCCATCAGGCAAGGGATGGACAGTCTTGTCGTCGATGACCAGCAATTAGGGAGTGGAGAACGGCCACCTGATAATGCGACGAACAAGGAGCGGTAGATGGTAGCGCTTGGCTTGGGTAGTGCTATGAAACGAAATGCACACGAGCGCCTATCAGCATGGGGCGGCGAGCGCACATCCAAATGTCACGAGGCAGGATGCAGAGCGAGACGAGACAGGAGAAGCAAGCACAATCGCAACCTGAAGTCAGGTAAGGTAATAGTGTGTGGTAGAGTGCTAGATGTAGGGAAATTAGGTGCGTGGCCGGCAGCGTCGCATTATGCCACCAGATGCCAAAAGGGGTCGGATGGACATCCCAGTTAGCGCCAGGGAAGGAGCAATCGACAACGCTTCCAGCCACTTACAACGCCTCGAGCTGGCATCCATGGACCGTTCCTGCATTAGTCCATTTGCAGTTCGCCAAGGCCCCACTCCAAGTCAGGCCCGCCCGCTCTGCAGAAAGCTCCAGGTCGCTCCACGGGAGACAAGCCTCCCCTTTTCCCCTGCCA